GGGATCCTCCTCTTGCATCTCCCTCCTGCTCCCCCTGCCTTGCTCTTTATCTCGTCCTTTCCCTCGTCCCGCGGACTGTTGTCGCTCTGCGGCCGGAGGGCGCGTGCTCCCTGTCTCCCGGCTCCCTGCCCTCCCTGCGTACCCGACCCACCTTCGCACCTCGGGGGGGCAGCGGGATCAGGGAGGCGAGGGGTGGGGAATGGCGAGGGGCCGCGGGGTCAAGGAGGGAGGGTTTGTTGATGTGAGCGGCCACTGCCATACCACCTCAGGTCAGGGAGTCGTGGAGCCCAGATTTGCGAGGGCGCCTGAGGTGAAGCTGGCCAGACCACCTCGGGCCAGGGAGTCTCTGAGCTCAGAGTTGCGGAGATGTCTCAGGCGACATTAGCCGGACCAGCTCAACTCAGGGCATATTTGAGCTCAGAATTGCGAGTATGTCTCAGGCGAAACGGGCCAGACCACCTCAGGTCAGTGCATCTCCAAGCTCAGAGTCGCTAGGATGTCCCAGGCGAAACTGGCTAGACGACCTCATGCCAGGGGAATATCCGAGCCCACAATTGTGAGGATGTCTCAAGCGAAACTTGCCCGACCACCTCAGATCAGAGCATCTTTGAGCCCATAGACGCGAGGATGTCTCAGGCGAACCTGGCAAGACACGAGCATTTGTAAGACCATAACTGCGAGGATGTCTCAGGCGAAATTGGCCGTACTATCTCAGGTCAGGACATCTGTGAGCCCAGGATTGTGATGATATCTCAGGTGGAACAGGCTATACCACTTCACGTCAGTGCGTACTCGAGCGCAGTGTTGCGAGGATGTCTCGGGCAAAGCTGACTGGATGAGCTCAGAGTTGCGAAGATGTCCCAGGCCACAATGGCTCTACCATCTCTCGCGCGGCATCTTCGGACCCACAGATTTGCTCACATGTTCGTTGGCACCTTCACCACCTGAGGGTACGATCCAACCTGTATCACATAAACGATCATGCCAATATTCCTGATAGTTGGCGTTATACTATGTGCGTACAGTGCAGTTTTTAACACATGCTCCGCGTGCGGATCATGTATTAAACATGCAGGGAGTTAATATTAGAAGCAACGATGAGTTCATGCATACATTCGTGCATACATTGACCATGTATTAAAAATCCCATATGTTTGAAAACATCATATATGTTCAAAACTGCCCTGTATGGCAAATCAACGACTTTGGTCTCTTCAGACCTTCGTGTAGGACTTCTTGGAGGCCTCTTGGGCCGTCTCAGGGGCCTCTTGGGCGCTTCTTGGGCCGTGAGCTCCCACTAGGGCGCGGTGCACATTTTTCGCGCGCGTTTTCGTCGACGCACGAGCGGGCGAGAATGTCGCTCTCGCCTCGGCGCCGCGCAGACTTCGCTTCAAAATGGTGTTCCCGCCCCGACGCGGCGCATGTGGCGCATATCTGGCACTTGCCAATTTGTGGGGGGACTGCGAGAGTGGGCGACTCGTTGCTCTCACCCAAGTTCGGTGCGCGTTTGGGTCGGAAGTGGCGTTCCAGGTGAGCGCGGCGGATGGTTCGCTCGACCTGCATGGCGGCGCCAGCGGCAGCGGGGCCGCGCGAAAGCGGGCGAAATGCCGACCTCGCCCAAACGCCGCGCAGTGGGTGAAAGTGTCATAGAGTGTCAATGCTGTGTCAGCGCGACGCTTGCTTCGTCTTCGCCGTGCCCATCAGAAGTTTTGCCGCTCCCGCCCCTGCGCGGCACGCGTCGTTTCGTTTTCGCCGAGTCGTCGGAAGCGGGACCGCGCGCAAGCGCCTTCCGTTCGCGATGTGGGAGCGCGTTCCAATCCCAATATTACCAAGCTGTGCTGCAGTTGATTCTTAACGTTGTGGAGGAGGAGGAGGAGGAGGAGGAGGAGGAGGAGGAGGAGGAGGAGGAGGAGGAGGAGGAGGAGGAGGAGGAGGGGGAGGAGAGTTGGAGCACGCGGGGCCCTCTGACTCGCCCGGCCTGGCTCATTCGATCCCCTGCCCTGCTCCTCCTCCCTCCTCGCTCCTCCCTCCTCGCTCCTCCCTCCTCCCTCCTCGCCCCTCCCTCCTCCTGGTTTCTCACCCCAGAGGTCGACCCTGGACCTGTCCTGGGGAGCATTCTGACGAGAAGTGCGAAGCGGATCCAGCCGCGGCGACAGGGACCCGTGGGAAACCAAGAATAGGCGAACACACGTCCAATGCGACTTCCCCGATGCTCGTCCCTTGATTCCCATCCTTGTCCTCATCTTTCTCCTTCTCCTCCTCGTCCACCTCCTCGTCCTCCGCGTTGTTCTCCAGCATCGATCGCCAAGTCCCCTCACGGATACGTTCGGACCAGACTTTCGAGGCGGACTTGGCCGTGGCCGCGAGGGCGCTCCAGGAGGTTCCACACGGCACCCAGACTTCCAAGAACATGGATCCTAGGTCCTCGGTCCTCCTCCTCCTCCTCCGCCTCCGCCTCCTCCTCCTCCTGTCGCGCAACGCACGGACCGCCAAGTTCGTTGCGGCCAGCGGCCAGCAGCAAGGGAACTGCGAGACAGCTCCCACCGCCAGCATCCAAGCGCTCCACCACTGAGCCAATCCTTCTCCTCCTCGTCCACCTCCTCGTCCTCCGCGTTGTTCTCCAGCATCGATCGCCAAGTCCCCTCACGGATACGTTCGGACCAGACTTTCGAGGCGGACTTGGCCGTGGCCGCGAGGGCGCTCCAGGAGGTTCCACACGGCACCCAGACTTCCAAGAACATGGATCCTAGGTCCTCGGTCCTCCTCCTCCTCCTCCGCCTCCGCCTCCTCCTCCTCCTGTCGCGCAACGCACGGACCGCAGGCAAGTCCCCAAGCAGCGCCTCGTTGCGGCCAGCGGCCAGCAGCAAGGGAACTGCGAGACAGCTCCCACCGCCAGCATCCAAGCGCTCCACCACTGAGCCAATCGGCTGGCTGCCCCTCGCCTCCAGCTCGGCAGGCTCCGCCGTGCGCACGAGCTCCGGGCCGGCCCTCGGCAGGCCTTCCGGCCTGCTGCGAACCGGGGGGGCGCCCCTCCGCGGCAACCTCAAAAGCTCTCCTTGACGCTCAAGGGGCGGCACACCTAAAACGACGCGAAGATCGGGACGAAATCGGATCGGGATAACTCGAAATCTCTGAGAATCGGCGGGTTTGGAGGATGTATTGGGCGCCGCGGCCGCTCCAGAGCGTTCCGGAACGCTCTGAGAGCGCACCGGAACGCTCTGGAGCGATTTATCCCGATCCTAGCCCTGTTTTAACACCGGTGCCTCCTCGCCGGGGCCTCGCGAGCTGCCGGCACCTGTTCCGTCGCCTGCTCCTCCCGGGCTGCCGCGGGGGCTGTCCCGAGGCGGCGCCGCTCTTCCGCGGGAGCCGAGGTGCGCACGCCAGAGCGTGCCGGTTTTCTCCCGCGCCGGGGCGCAGGCTGGCCCATGAGGGTTCGGATCACCGCCGCCCGCTCTTTCTTCCTCCTCCTCCTCCTCCTCCTCCTCCTCCTCCTCCTCCTCCTCCTCCTCCTCTCTCCTCCTCCTCCCTCCCTCCTCCTCCCTCCCTCCTCCTCCCTCCTCCTCTCCTCCTCCTCCTCTCCTCCTCCTCCTCCTCCTCCTCCTCCTCTCCTCTCTCCTCCTCCTCCCTCCTCCTCCTCCCTCCCTCCTCCTCCCTCCTCCTCCTCCTCTTCCTCCTCCTCCTCCTCCTCCTCCTCCTCCTCCTCCTCCTGACGGGGGCCCCTTCATTCCGCGCCAGGGTGAGGCTATCCCACCGCCTTTGTTCCACAGGCGGCGCCTCCCGCTTTGCGAGGAAGGCCTGCCTGACACACGCGGCCCGGGGGCCTGGCCGACCTGTCGTCCCCACTACTGCTAGCCCCGTTTTTCTCCTCCCCGCCCCACCCAGAGTAGAGCGCCACGAGGATCGATCTTATGAGCTTGCGTGCCATCGATTGTACAAGGCAGCAAGAGGGAGTTGAGCATGTTCGAACAGACGACGATACATCGGATCTTGTGCACGCGGAGCCACCTGGGCCGAGAGCAGGAGGAGGAGGAGGAGGAGGAGCAGGAGGAGGAGGAGGGACCACGGAGGAGGAGGAGGAGGAGGAGGAGGAGGAGGAGGAGGAGGAGGAGGAGGGGTGTGGGGGGGCGGGACGCAGGAGGCGGGAGGAGACGCCCAGCCTGCGTGCCAGATCGCATGCCAGGCGACAGATAGCGTGCCCGACGAGAGTCTGCGTGCAGCAGTGGCGCGCGTCGCGCAGCAGCCACCGGGGGAGCGCCAGCCAGATTGGCCAGAAGACGACGAGCGCGTGCAGTGGATTGCACATGAGTTGTTCCACACATCTGGACAGAACTGCCGTTGTCTTCCTGCGCTGCGCTGCAAGATAGAGGAAGGTGGTGGAGGAGGAGCAGACGGGAAAAGGGTGAGGACATGCAGGAGGCTGGAGAGAGAGAGAGAGAGAGAGAGAACCGCACAGAGCGGGGAGAGACGGGCAGGTGGCTGGAGCGGGGAGAGAGTTGCACAGCGAGTGGAGAGTCGTGGAGAAACACACGTAAAGCCACTGATGCCTTGTGGCCTCATCCTCTGTCTCTTCCCTCTGGCAGGCTGGCTGCACGGCGCGTTCCAGCATGCTTGCTGAGGGTGGGGGCACGAGTGGGATGTTCGACAGCGACACTCCAGTGAGCCCCCTGCGTTCTTCAATTTGCTTGAATGTTCTCCGTCGTCCTCTGCCTCGCCCCGCTGCGCACACGGCCTCCGTCTCCATCCTCCCTCTTTTTGTTCAACCCCCGCGGCCCTCACATATCCATCTATGTGCGTTGAAAAGGTGCTATTCCCCCTTTTCGGTAATCCTAAATTCCTTTGTTCGGGCTTTTGGATTACCTCTCCCCTCCAACTCCCGTGCTCCCATGTCCTCCCCTATTCATCTGACTCCACTCTCCCTGCCTCTGCCTCGCTTCCGGTTCACTCCCCTCCCCTCTCTCATTGCCTTCCTCCCCTCCCCACGCCGCATACGACATGCACAGGCAATCAAGATTGCCACGATCCCATTTCCGTTCCCGTACGCGCAGACCTGCGATTGCGCTCCTCTTAGTGGCGCCCTATGCCTTCCGAAAGGCTGCTGCAGCGAACAGACGGTAGATGTAATTTCCAACATTGTAATCGTCGGCGTCCTCCTCCCCTACTCCTGGCCCTCCCCATCGTCCTCCACCTCGCCGTAGCCATTTTGGCTCAAGTTGGAAGCGCGTGGCCGGGCGTTTCGAATCTGACCGCAGCTGGGGGCCTGGCTCCAGGTCCTGCAGGTGGCAGCCGAACCGTGCAGTTCCTGCAGCGATCCCTCGTGCGGCCGCAGGCTTCGGCCCGCACATGAAGAGCTCTCAACGGCCAATCGACCCTTCCACAGCATGCCGCGCTCGAAGGGTGACCTGGCGGCCAGCGGCTCCACGCTGCAGGCTCATACCTCATGTCACTCCCCTGCAGACTGAGGTGGCGAAAGTTGTCGCCGAGGTTCGCGATCTCGACGAGAAGTTCGGCGCGTAGCGAAGCGAACGATCCCCCCCTTCCCATGTTCCTGATTTCGCGGCGAGTTCGGTACTTTTGACCTTAGCCCCCCCACCCCCACCCCAGTCGGTGATGGATCATTCATGGGACGTGATATGCGCCCATATCCAGACAGGCGTGATAGATGTGTGAAAGTGTCCACGCATACACGCGTACATGAGGCTTGCGCATGTGTACATACTTTCCTATATCCATGTCTACACATGTATGTACATGATCAGTGCAAGCATCTGTGCATGTGCACACGTGTAGGTGTATACGGCTTTCTTTGTGACAATCGAAGGTGCCTACGGCAATTCACCGCCGTCCTATGTTTTCTGCAAATGCTTGCGTTGTGAAACGTCACGCGAAAGTGTGGCCTCGCTGTGGAATGAGTGTTCCCAAAGCCGTTGGGGGAAACAGTGGGGGAAAATTCTGGGAAGGCTTTCTGGGCCCCTCTTGGGGCTCTCTTCTTGGGGCTCTTTTCAAGAGTTTTGAGCCTTCTGGGCTATCGTAAGGCGCGTAGGCGGTCTGGCGCTTTGAGACGCCGTCTTGCAGGCCTCTCTGGGGCCTCTTGGGGACCTTCAGGGCCATCTGGGGACTATCTTGGCCGTCTGGAGGCCACCTTGGGGTCCTCTTGGGAGCGTTTTGGGCCGTCTTGGGCTGCTCTTGATGGCTCCTGGGGCCCTCTTGGGCCGTCTTGGAGGCATCCGGATCCATCTCGGAGGCCATTTGGGTCACTTTGGGCCGAATCGATGGCGCTCAGGGCCCCCTTGGGAGACGCTCTTGGAGCCGTCTTGGGCGGAAAAGCAAATGGGGTGTTGCTCGGCGCGGCGGCGGCGGCACGGGCTGGAGGGCCTGTAGGAGCATGTGGACGGGCCAAACACAGCGCACTCGAATCCGACATTTTCGGCGCCCGTCCAACAGGTGTCGGGGGTCTTCGGCCCATCCCGCCACCGTGTATTGGCCTCTCGGGAAACCTTTCTGTGTGCCTCTTGGAGGCCTTTCGGGGGTGTCAGTGGGGCCTCTCGGAGGTCTCTTGGGGATCTCTTGGAGGTCTCTTGGAGGTCTCTTGAGGCCTCTTGAGCGGTTATTGGCGGCCTCTTGGTGGCCTCTTGAGGCCCGCTGGCGATCTCGGGGGGCTTCTTGGGGGAAAGGACTCGAACTGTGAATCCGGGTTTTTCTTCTTCATCGTCTTCTTCTTGGGCCTCTTCTTGGGGCGGTTCGCGGGGGCCGTCTTTGGGCGATCTTCGACGCTCTTACGACCGATGAGCCGATATATTCACATACGCAATCCAGAGGGATTTGGAAGATTTGGGCCTCTTGGGCCGGCCCCTGTGGCTTCCAAGACGGCTCAGGAAGCCTCCAACAGAACCTCAGGACGGCCGTTTGGGGCCATGGGAGGGCATGTGGGAACTGTAGACGGCCAGCTGCCGTCACAGTCTAAGCCTCCAACGGTGACAAGAAGTGCCTGGAAATTTCCTGCGTTCGGGTCTGGCCCCGCTTAGAGAAGATGTCCAAAGCTCCATGCAGAGAGCTCGAATGGACCTGAGGACACTCCACTTGGTATCTCGCGGCACGGTGACAGATAACCTCTCCCTGCTGCATGCCAACCAAGCAGATTCTCATGTTTGCAGTTTTCTGCGTCCCCTCATGATGCATTGCACCTTCTTGGCTAACTTACGCAATGCCCAGTCGATAACTTGCGGGTCTGGTATTTTTGTTGGATTCCATTTCTCGGTTGACACCTCTGTCCCCCGTTGACCCTTGCCTTTATCGTCCCCCTCCCACTCGCGCTCCCCGCTTAACCCGCCCACTCCTCGCCCTTCCACCCTTCCCCTTTCCCCCTTCCCCTCTGCTGCCTCCCTTCGTCGCAAAGGTCTTCTGATCATGCACTGGCTCGTGACGCCCCTCGTGGTCTCCCAGTGGGTCTCGGCTCCCTCCTGGGGCGCGCTGTTCAGCTTCATCCAGGCGTGGCGAGGAAATGGGAGGGGATATGGTAGGAAGCAAGCAAAGGCCATGCATCCTGAAGGACGCGTCGGCATACTCGAAGTTGCGCCATAGGCAACCGAGTGAGATAATGAAAGCATAAATGCGTCGAAAATTGTAGCGATGGGAGGAGGAGAGAGAGAGAGAGAGAGAGGAGGAGGAGGAGGAGGAGGAGGAGGAGGAGGAGGAGGAGGAGGAGGAGGAGGAGGAGGAGGAGGAGGAGGAGGAGGAGGGGATACAACAACTGGCAAAGAAAACAGGAGGGGATATGGTAGGTGAGATAATTGATAGGGCAGGGTAGAGCTCGCAACAGGAACAGACGTTCTCGCCCACTCCTACCCGCCCTCCCACCATATAAGAAACACGCGCGACTGGCCAAAGGCGATGGCCGCAATCGGTTGGACAGCTCTTTGGGAGCATTGGCTTTGAATCCGACGGCTTCCAACTATTCGGGCACGGCCCCCCTCCCACTCTACGGTCGACTCCAGGCTTCAATGCAGGCAGAACTCGAGCGCGCACGAATCGCGTTGCTTCAATCACTGCATATGGCAAGGATGCCTTGGGCATGCTCCGTCGCATTCAAGGCGTGGTTTGGAGGATTAATGCAGGGGGTCGGAACACTGTGCTGAGCCCTTCGCACTGCTGAACCAGTGGCGGGCCTTTGAAGGTCCGCCTCGGGCACTGGCCGCAGTGCCACAGCTCGTTTGCTGGACGCCAGCCCTGACCGTGCAGGGACCCACCTGGATGAGCAGCAGCAGGAGGGGGCTGCGTGGGCACTCGGGAGATGCCGCCGCCGCGCGCTGCTCCTCGGCGCGCGGCTCGAGCGTGGCCCCCCCCTCCGGCAGCTGCTGCGGCGGCGGCGTCCCCGGGCTGCCGCTGGGGAGGAGCGCGGCGGGCGAGGGCCCGCGCACGGCTGGCGCCGGCGGCGTCTGCCGGCAGGCGGGCCATTCGTGGGCCTTCGGGGGGCCCTCTCGCAGAGAAGGGCAAGTTGGGGGACGTTGCATTCGATGCTTTCGGGCGTTTTCTCGCTAGTTCCCGGCTGTATTCCAGCCTCGGGAGGCCGTCTCGTCGCCGCGGAGACACATGCCAAGAAGCACCCTGCTTGCCTCCAGGGTGCCCCGGGTTTCTTGGGTCTCGATGGTTTTGCTATGGAAAACGTGACGTTCCCACACTAAAAATCCATGGACGTCCTGAGGTCTCTCAGGGTTGGTCGGACTGCGGGAAGGCCTTGTGGACCGGCCCAAGGGGGCCCCGAAGACGCCCAGGAAGGGCTCACCCGAAAGGGGCCCCAACGGCCCACAACAGCGCCCCAAGAGAACCCAACAGATACCCCCAAGAGCACCCTGGAAAATCTAAAAAAGAAGTGGGAGGGAAAATACAGAAGGGGTGGAGAGGGGAGGGGGGAGGGGGGAGAGGGGGTGCATTCCAGGTACACGCTAAGTGGGGGGGAAGCGACCTACTGCCGCCATTTCATTCCCATTCCCCTGACAATAGGAACGGGGAGCACCGTGGGAGGGTGGGCAAGGGGGCCCCGAGCAGGCCCCATGAAAGCTCAGGAGGACCCCAAGAGGGCCCCAAAGGGGCCCCGAGAACGCCTCCGTAGCCTAGCCACTTTGGCACAAGATCCTGCTGGCCTTCAGTTCCAGCGCTGCCATCATGGCGGATACAGCAGACGCCACGCCAGTCTTCCGCAGCGGCCGCTGGGCGCGCGTGCCGTGCTCCGTGGTCGTGCACGCCTCGTGCTGTGCCTGCCTCGTCCTGCTGCAGGACGCGCTGCTGAAGCACCACCTGCGCGCTGGTCCCCCGACCATGCAGCGGCAGGCCTGCCGCAGCGGGCCGGCGGGGGCGCGGCGCGACGAGCCGATGGAGGCCACGGCCCACAGTTCTGCCTCCTCCTCCTCCTCCTCCTCCTCCTCCTCCTCCTCCTCCCGTTCCTCCTCCTCCCGTTCCTCCTCCTGCTCCTCCTCCCCCTCCCTTTCCTTCTCCTCCCCTTTCCCCTAGGCCCTCGGATCTGGCGAGCCGGCGGGGCTCCGCGTCGGCACCTGCAGCCCTCTGCGTGCGCCAGCGATGCCTCTTTGGAGCGCTTCGGGAGAGTCCCCGACGCCCGCAACCGGCACGGGACGTCCCCGGTGGCCAGACGCCGGGAGGCAGCTTCTTCTGATGCACGTGCGGAAAGCGGGCGGGACGACGTTGAGGCACTGGGTTCATTCCGCGTGCACCGTTCTGAAGAACACAGCGGATTGCGCTTGGGAGAGAGAGGGGGCGTCCATCAACAATTACTTTTACTTCGAATACCTGGCAGGCCCGAGAGCTAAGATCACAATCGCTATCATTAACATACGAGAACCACTGGCAAGGACCCAGTCTCTCGTTAGTATGAACATCGCGCAACGAGATAAATCATGCAAGGTCCAGGACGCGAAGGTCCTTTCGTCTGAGAAGTGCTTGGCTAACAACTCTGTCGATGCTGAGCTCCAGAGAATTCGCGAGTGCTTCAGTATCCGGGGCGACCTCCCTGTAAACGCGGCTATTTCCCCCCTGTACGAGTGCGGCGCGGACGTTTACGTCAAGACTCTGGTTGGCACAAGCGACGAGCATTACCTGTGGAGCGAGGTGGCAGACGAGGGCAGACATAGCAACACATTGTTTTGGGACAGGGCGAGCAGCCAGGAACTCGAACGAGCCAAGCAGCGCCTCGTTGCCTTCCATGGCGTCGCCATCACAGAGTGGCTTAATTTTGTAGCATTTGAAGATTTCATGGTCAAGATTGTCATGGGTTTGCACAATCGTATTCGTTTCGGATCTGCGTACCCAACACAGCACAAGACGAGGTCTGGAGACAGTACCAGGTTCACTCCCGAGCAGATGAGAGCCGCGGAGCGAATGAACGAACAGGATGTGGCGCTGTATGATTATGCTAAGCGGCTGGTGTTACAGCGCATGGTGGGCGCGGGATATTGCTAACATTTTGCTTCAGAGAGCGGAGCCGACGCGTCGCCGTCGCGTTCAACTCATACATATAACGGGGGACTGGGTCCGGGGGCCGGGGGCCGGAGCCTCGACCGCAAATGTGGGGCCCGGGGCCCTGGCCCGCCTCAGGGCCCCGGGAGGCCCCAAAGGGGCCCCAAGAGGCCCCAGGAGACCTCCAAGAGGCACCCAGGAGGCCCGGTGCCCGAAAACAGCTGCCCCGACCCTCCATGGGGATACCGGGGCTCATTTTCCTTGTGTCTTTATACGGTTTCCGCGTCCTGGGCCTCGGAGGCCGCCGCCTCCGAACCCCCATGGGAGGACGGGGCGGCCGGGGAGGTCCAAAATAGTCCAGGAGGGCCTCCAGAGGCTCCCAAGACGGCCCAAGCGGGCCCCGAGTCGCCGAAAGACCGTTCCGGGACGCCCAAGATAGGCCCAAGACGGCCCGAGAGGCCCCCCAAGGCACTCCACGACGCTTCAATACGCCTCTCCAGAGCGCTTCAAGAGGCCGAAATTGTCAAATTTACGAAGGTTTTCGAACGATTTTAGCCTTCCAGCCTTTTCGGCTGTCCGACGTTCCAAGACGGCTCAATAGGCCCCCAAGAGCGCCCCAAGACGGCCCAAGAGGGCCCCAAGACGGCCCCAGAGTCGCCCAAGACAGCCCAACAGAGCCCCAAGACGGCCCCAAGATGCGCCCAAGACGGGGACCACGACTCCAAAATTCGACCCTCCCGCTTGAAGAGTGCCCCAGGAGGCCCCAAGGAGCCCCCAAGAGGCCCCAGGAGGCCCCCAAGAGGCACCCAGGAGGCCCAACCGAGGCCTAAAGAGGCCACAAAACAGCCCCGAGGAGGCCCCACAACGGTCCCAAAACGGCTATCGAGAAGCTGCGAAACTGCCTTCACGACGTCCCCGACAGGCCAACCACGAGATCCAAACCAACACCCATGAGGCCTCTGACCCACCACCCAGGGCACGGTGGCGGGAGCAGTGACAGCACTTGTGCACAGCATGTTCTGGCGGAGCCTTCCAGAACACGCTGCAGGAGGAGGAGGAGGAGGAGGAGGAGGAAGATCAGGAGGAGGAGGGGGACGAGGAGGAGGAGGAGGAAGAGGCCTCCAAGACAGCTCCAAGATAGCCGAAGAGGCTTCCAAGAGGGCCCTGGGCGGCCCACGAGGGCCCCAAGGCGGTGCCTGAGGCGCCCAAGACGGCCCGAGAGGGCCCCAAGACGGCCCCAAGAGAGGCCCAAGAAGGGAAGCACGAACCGAGAATCCGAGCTTTCTACCCCGAGAGGTTCTCGGGAAGTCCCAAGAGGCCCCCAATCGGATCCAAGAGGCCCCCAACAAGCTCCCAAGAGGGCCGACGAGGTTCCAGGTGGAGGTGGAGGAGGAGGAGGAAGTGCGCGGCGGGGGAGTTGCGCGGCAGGGGTGCGGCTGTGGCACAGCCGCGCTTCTGCCAGACAGGAGCAGCCGTCGAAACAGTATGAATTGGCCCACTTTGGGTTCGCGTGCTCTGCGCCGTACTTCTGCGTTCGGCACCCGTGAGATCATGGAGTGCCAAAAGCCCAGTATATACTGCATGCGCTGTGCCTGAAACGTGGCGAATGTGTCTTGGTCGGCTTTTCTCAAGTATATCGTCTCTGTGCTGTACGAGATTTTGCTGGCGATAGATGCGCGGAGCAATGTGATCTTGCGAGTTCGTGAGATGTTCACATGCCTCCACGGAAGCCTGAGCTTCTGGAAGGCCGACTTTGTTTCCCCAATCAGTCTTGCGATATTTGTGCCTGTGTCTCCATCGGCGCACACCAGCTCACCCAAATAGAAGGCGGAAACGACCTGCTTCACTGGCACCCCCTCTGCTGTCCGGATGTCAGTGTCATGTCTGACTTGCAGATGCACGTTTTTTCCCCGGTACGGTTCGAGACCGTATTTGCGAGCTCTCGACACGAGACAAGTCAATGAGATGGTGTAGCAGGTTCGAGGAGCGTGTTTCTGTATGGGGTCGGTAGTTGATCTATCTTATAACTGGCGACCAGCAGCGACTTGTTTTCTCGAAACGGGGCTGGAGTGCCTGCGTGGCCTGACGCCTACTCACGTGTACATGCTGGCTGGAAGCCTGTGTGTCTCTGGTGGCGTCTCCTGCCCATGCTGGCGCCTGCCTCCCCCCACAACATTTTTATGCAACTCTCTGATCCGCGCCGTGTGCGCGAGAGATCGATCTTTGCACATCGTATCACTTTCTGTGCTCCATTCCCCCTCCTTCTGGGGCTGTGCGACTCGTCAGCGCACGCTTCCCGCGCGTGCCTGCTAAGCAGGCGCGAGCCCACTCCCAAACTTCTGCCAGGCCTATTTTCTCACGCGAGTTGAAAGAAACGAGAAAGAAACGTGAGGTTAAAACAAATAATAAAAAAAGAGGGCCGACGAGGTTCCAAGAGATCTCCCAAGGTGGCCCCAAGAGGCACAACTCATTGTTTTACGATTGGGCTTTGACGGGTTTTAATTGTTTCGGCCTTTTGGCATCCCGATGCTCCAAGACGGCCCAAGAGGCTTCCAATACCGCTCCAGTATAGAGGAAGAGGCCTCCAAGAGGGCCCCAAGACGGCCTGCGAGGGCCCCAAGACGGTGCTTGAGGCGCCCAAGACGGCCCGAGAGGGCCCCAAGAGCCCCAAGAGAGGCCCAAGAAGGGGAACCAGCAGAGCGTTCCCCCCAAAAGGACCGCAGGAGGCCGCAAGAGGCCCTCAAGTGGTCCGACGAGGACCCCAAAAGCTCCCCGATGGCCCAAAAGGCCCCTAGGAGACGTCCAAAAGGTTTTAAAATAGCCCAAGAGTGCCCTCGATGCGTCAAAACTGCTTCCAGGAGGCCCCCGGGAGGCTTCCGGATTGCCTCAATTTGGCCGCAGGTGGCCTCAAGTCGGGCCTCCACGCAGCCAAGACGGCCAATGACGGCTTCAGATTGCAGAACCGATGCCCCCAAGGGACCCTCAGACGCCCCCCAAAAAGCACCCCAGAGGTGCCTCCAGCAGCCAGTTGACGAAGCATGCGGAACACCCCAGAAGGTCCTCAGATGTCGTCGCGCGCCTGTGCTTGATAGCGTTGTCCAAGATCGTCCACGGCCCCCCCCGGCCTGGGCTAGAACCTGAGCGCGCGCTCAGGATGGCCTGGACAGTATGCCCGGGCCCGGGCATACTGTCCTAATTCCTGAATGGATGAGCATCTCACCCAAATCCACAATTCCCGGATTCCTTGGGGCCTTCGGAGACTCCGCGACAACGTTAAGAAGCCGGGAGGCGCGGTACCGGCCAGATGTCAGGGGATATGTAGGACCCCGAGTAGGAGTTCTACTTTGATGAAACAAAAGGAATTCTTGGAATTCCTTTTTTTCCCAAGTCCTCGATCTTTGAGGGCTGGAAGCGGGAAAACGTGAGAAGGCGAAAAACATATGAAAAACCATTGGAAATCAACGATTTTACCCTCTTTGAGCTCTCTCGGGACGGCTCTCGCAGCTCTCTTGGGCTGTTCTTGGAGCCTCGTCGGGGTCTCTTTGGGGCCTCTCAAGGATGGGGGGTGTGTTGGGGGCCTCTGGGGGGTCCCGGAGGCCTCTCGGAGGTCTCTGGAAGCCTCCTGCTCCCGCTTTTGGGCCCATCTTGGGCCTGTTCTGGGGTGGTCTGGGGCTGTGCTGGGCGCCTCTTCGGCAGTCTTGGAGCCTTCTTGGCCTGTCTTGGGGCCGTCCTGAGGGTCTCTTGGGTGGTCTTGGGCCGGTCTTGGGAGGCTCTTCGGCGCTTTTGGACCGTTGGAAGCTCGAAAACACGAGAAGCCAAAAACATTGAAAAGACCATTGAACATATACGACTTTGGCCTCTTCGGGCCGTACCGTGATACCTATCAGACTTCTTGGGGTCTCTTGGAGGCCACCTGGGAGCCTCGAGATCTTTTCAGCGCGTTCCGGGAGCATCTTCCCGGAACGCGCTCGTGGCAGGGCGCCCACGTCCGAGGACGTTGGCATGGGAAACCGCAGCGCGTGATCATTCCAGGCGTTATGGCGGACTCCAGGAAGACTGCATGTCTTCTGAGGATGGCTTCCGCCTCTTGCCCCGAGCATCCCAAACTGCCTGAACGGTTCCCACTCGCCTTCCCCAAACCCAGCGCTTGCCCAAGCGCGTTCCGGACGAAAGACCGCTCCAGGACGCCCGAGATAGGCCCAAGACGGCCCGAGATGCCCCCCAAGGCATTCCACGACGCTTCAAGACGCCTCTCCAGAGCACTTCAAGAGGCCGAAATCGTCAATTTTACAAAGGTTTTCGAACGATTTTGGCCTTCAAGCCTTTTTGGCTGTCCGACGTTCCAAGACGGCTCAATAGGCCCCCAAGAGCGCCCCAAGACGGCCCAAGAGGGCCCCAAGACGGCCCCAGAGTCGCCCAAGACCATCCAACAGAGCCCCAACACGGCCCCAAGATGCGCCCAAGAGGGGGACCACGACTCCAAAATTCGACCCTCCGATTTGAAGAGTGCCCCAGGAGGCCCCAAGGAGCCCCCAAGAGGCCCCAGGAGGCCCCCAAGAGGCACCCGGGAGGCGCAAACGAGACCTCAAGAGGCCACAAAACAGCCCCGAGGAGGCCCCACAACGGTCCCAAAACGGCGACCGAGAAGCTGCGAAACTGCCTTCACGACGTCCCCGACAGGCCAACCACGAGATCCAAACCAACACCCATGAGGCCTCCGACCCACCACCCATGGCACGGTGGCGGGAGCAGTGACAGCACTTTGCCTGCGGGAGCCTTCCGGAACACGCTGCAGGAGGAGGAGGAGGAAGATCAGGAGGAGAGAGAGCTGGAGTGGGAGGAGGAGGAGGAGGAGGAGGAGGAGGAGGAGGAGGAGGAGGAGGAGGAGGAGGAGGAGGAGGGGGACGAGGAGGAGGAAGAGGTCTCCAAGACAGCTCCAAGATAGCCGAAGAGGCTTCCAAGAGGGCCCTGGGCGGCCCACGAGGGCCCCAAGGCGGTGCCTG